ACTGTGTTATTCCTCAAGACTCAGTGTGGACCCTCTTCTCATCTGCTCCCCTCTCTGTCCCTCCCTCGCTTTTCTCCAGCCCTGATCACTACACTCTGAACCCACCCCCTCACAGGCAGGTCAGTTTACCCATGCAATTTACATGCCTCAAAAGTTCCCCAATCTACATGTCTAAACAAAGTTATGAGTCCCCCTAGCCTTCTTCCCAAAAGGCCCTCTTAGCAGTCACTAAGTAGGAGTAAATGGGGCAGACCATAACTCATCCATTTCTGCAAGCCCTGGAAACCTAGTTACCTTTTGTTTCCCCTTTCCTTACACCCCTTGACTTTCTCTTCTAAATCAATCCCCCCCATTCATTTTTCTCAGTAACCCCACCTATCACATGTCCTGAGGAAGCACTAAAATGGCCTAGTTTCTGATCAGCTCACATTTTGTTCATTTTACTTCTAATTTTACATTTAGTTACTTTAGTTCTATAAATAATCCAATCAAGAAATTTAAAAGATAATAATTCACAAATTATGAAAAAAGCATTTATAAGTTTTTTTAAATGTGATACCTTGTATCTGGAGACTTATCTTGTATCCAGAATGTATAAAAAAAATTTAAACGCAATAATAACATATAAATGCATTTTTAAAGTGAATATAAATGACTCACTTTTAAAACAACCAAGAATTTAAATGAACATTCTTCAAAGAAGATATGCATTTGGTCAATAAGCTTTTCAAAGGTTACTAATCATAAGTAGTCACTGGGGAACTAAAACCAAAACCACAATCAGACACCACTACCCCTGCTAGGATGGGAAAAGACAAATAACATGCAGGGCATAGTGACACACACCTTTAATCTCACCTCAGGTGTGGCAAAGGCAGGCTCACCTCTGTGCCCTCTAGACCACTCTGGTTTACACAATGAGTTCCATGTTAGTCACAGCTATGTAGAAAAAACTTGCCTCAAAAACGTAACAAACAAATAAAAAGACAAACACTAGCAAGTGTTGGAGAAGTTAGGAAATTCTTGTATCACTCATGGGAATATAAAATGATATAGCTACTTTGGAAGGTTTTCTCAAGAAAGTAAGTTTGAATTATCATATGAATAGAAATTCTACTTAGAAATATTTAAATAAAAATCCATATCCTCAAAGCATCACAGGAGCATTATCTATAGAATCAAAAAGAGAGAACAATCCAACTTTCCATCAAATGATGAACAGATGAGCAAAATGTGATATATCCATAAAACGGAACTGGGTTGTCAAGAAAAAGGAATGAAATAGCTGATAGAGGCTGGCATATTTTTGAACCTTGAAAACACTATGCTAAGGTTGGCAAGAGGTCTCAGTAGGTAAAAGCACTCGCCATGCAAGCCCCACACCTGAGTTACATCACCAGCTCTCACAATGGAGGAAGTGAAATGATTCCTGAAAGTTGTCCTCTGACCTCCACATGGGCACCATGACATGCACAAACCCACAAATTTCACACACATGCATTAATAATGAATAACATTTAAAACTTAGAAAGAACATCAGAGGAAGTCAGACTCAGAAAAGTGCCACTCCATGTATGGTTCCATTTACATAAAAAGACCAAAATAAGCAAATCCAGAAAGACAGAGAGATGAGTTGTTGCCGGAGTCTGGGAAAGGAAGACGAGGGCTGAAACACAAATCCACATGGGGGTTCTTTTAGGAAGGCAGAAATGTTTTGAAAATTGTGTGACCATCTTTATAAAACACTGTGAATGTACTTAAAAGGTTTAATAGTCTTAAATATGTATGTATACATTGTGATATGTTGGTTGCACTTAAATAAGCTATTTCAAAGTATCCAAAAACCTTATGACTGTTTAATAATTATCAAGTTTTAAAGTAAAAACTGACTAGAATGTTTCCTCTCATATGTGGAGTCCAGTTTTTCTGAAAAAACACAAAGTAGAATTGTACCTGTCCTGTGCTACTTTATGTGTTGTTCTTTTTTCCACCCTTCTCCACCCCGTTCAATGCCCCAACACTAGATAAGAGAGAAAGGAGAGAAAGAGAGAGAGAGAGAGAGAGAGAGAGAGAGAGAGAGAGAGAGAGAGAGAGAGAGAGAATGAGAGAGAGAATAGATCCCTGAATAAAGTCAGGATTTGGAAAGGGGGCAATGTTATCATTAGACTGCTTCCTGCTGATTAGGGGCATCAAGCTCCTTGGTGCAAGTTTGATCTTCACCATCAGGATATCTAATTTCTTTTTCTTTTCTGTGCATGACGACTTAACAAACCACAACCAACTACCAACCAACAACTCACCCTGCTTCTTAGGGCCCTCTAATACACAGCTTCTTATACACCCTCTAAAAAGTCCCCAGAATCCCAAACATCACAGAACTGCAGAAACTATCTGCAGCTGGCAAAATCACATCCCTGCCAGAGCATGAGACAAATCATAGTCAGCTGCTGTGAACAATCTGAAGCAGTTCTATATCCTTCACCCAGGATTAAAACGAAAACATATTCTTATAATATTTCTGTTTTTTAAAGAAATCAAAATTCCAAAATTCCCACTATGTAGAATGGGGACTAGTTGGACAGTGGGTAGGTGAATATTTATGTATGAAAATAAAAAGGAAACTGTTACTTTGAACAGTTAATAAACACTAATAAAAAACAGAAAAATGATTTTAAAAACAAAGCTTGTAGATAGGTTTATAGTCTCATTCCATGAGAGAGTTAAAAGAATCAAGAAAATAATTATATATAAGCAGGCATAGTGACACATGCCTGAAGTCCCCGTACATGGGAGGTAGAGGTAGGAGGACCACAGGTGTAAGTCTTTTTGTGCTACATACTGACTCTGAAGCCATCCTGGGCATCTCCCCTTCCTGTCAGTCTGCATTTTAACAGCAATCAAGCCCTGAGTGGAAAATAGAATTTTTTTGTTTCCCTTTAGATTTAATCCTTTAGATTTCTAAATGAGTTCCTAAAATCAGACTTTACAGCCTACTTTCTGTGTCAATGCCTAATAAGACATCTAAAAAACAAAGCAAGAATATTTACAGACCAAGGAAGAAAACAAAGACGCTTCTCTCCTACTAACCAGATATAAAAATGCCTGAGTCACTCACTGGGAAGTGGTATGTAACCACTTCTCTCTCTCTCTCTCTCTCTCTCTCTCTCTCTCTCTCTCTCTCTCTCACACACACACACACACACACACACACACACACACACAATCCATCTATCTATCTATCTATCTATCTATCTATCTATCTATCTATCCATCTATCTATCTATCTATCTACCTACCTATATGCATGTATATTTTTTAAAGTAGACATTTTACAGCCATACTGGTCTGTAAGAGTCCATTATGATTCTTAAAATCCAATATGCAGAAGATTAGGTCCAAATAACTTGTATAAACTTCATTGATCTGTGTGTCCCCTCACACTCAAAATTCAAATCTTCTGGGTTACATGCCAGACAGAAATCTAATACACATAAATTATGAACCATGATTTGAAAACTATTGCTTCAAATCATGTGTACAATATAAGAACTAGGCATGAGATACTATGCTTTCAAGTATTTCTTCAATTATTCTGAACTTACCTAGTCTTTTCAGTACAAGTAAACCAAATAATGAACATCTATGATATTATATAACCTGAAAACTTAATCTCTTCTACAGAGTGTGCGCTACAGTAAGAAAAAGTCTGCCCCCATAATGTTTCCTTTACTTTCTGAGTGTGTGCAGTACATGCAGGGAGCACACGTGTATGTGCTGGTGTACTTGCTGTGCAACCTCAAAGAGGTCAGAAGTCATGGCAGGTGTCTTTATCACTTCCCACCTAATGTATTTTAATTAAAAATACTGTATTATCCTATGTCCACTAGTGTTTTGCTTGTATGTCTGTGCACCAAATGCATGCAGATGCCAGCAAAAGCCAAAATAGGCAAACACTTAGGGGGTTACAATTGACTTGGGTGCTCTTGGAAAGCGGCCAGTGCTCACAATTGCTGAGCCGTCTCTCCAGACCCTATTTTAAAGTTTTATTTAATATTATTGTGGCTATATCCATGATATATTTGGGGGCCACTGCCATAGCACTTGCCTGGAGGTCAGAAATAATTCTTTTAGGTCAGTTCTCTCCTTCTACCTTTATATGGGCTCCAGCGATCAAACTCAGGTCATCAGGCTGGTGTAGCAATCACCTCTACCTGATAAGCCATCTCTCTAGCCCTCTACCTTATGAGACAGAGTCTCTTACTGAGCCTGGTCCTGTTTCACTGTGTTGACTGGAATGGTGGTCAGCAACACCCTGAGATCTGTCTGCCTTTATCTACCCAACTACAGTTACAGATATACACTATCACCCCAGCTTTTATGTGGGTTCTGGGGATATGAACTCAGATCTTTGTATCTTAAAGTAATTTTGTATTGTAAAGTAAGTATTTTACCCACTAAGCCATCTCTATACCCCTCCATTTTTTATTATAAAATCAAAATGTGTGAATAAACACAGGAAACACAAGTAAATTATACAAAATATCCAACGCTTTACATGAGGAAATTACCTGACAGAGTTATAGACAGCCAATGGAGTCTGGTCCTTCTCCTTGGCTATTCTCATCATGTCTAACACTGCCATCCCAAGACATTCTTCCTGAGTTTCATGAGTCACAGGTACTTTTATCCATCCATGAACAAAATCATGCCGCCACTGAAAAACAAAAGTGATAGGGAAATGGCTCAGGTTTTACTATCACATTTAATTAAGTTATATGCTATAAATTAACTTCTAAAATATTCATTTAAAAGTAATAAATCAATTTCTGCCTTATTTTTAAATCATTTTACACAAAGTATTAACCAAGGTTTGTGTACAAATAGAAACTGATTTAAATATTTAAATTGGGTTCACAGCCTATCTTTCTTTTTTGTTTTTGTTTTGTTTTGTTTGTTTTTCGAGACAGTGTTTCTCTGTGTAGTCCTGGCTGTCCTGGAACTTGCTCTGTAGACCAGGCTGTCCTCAAACTCATAGAGATCCATGTGCCTCTGCCTCCCAACTGGGATTAAAGGCGTGTGCCAACACTGCCCGGCCATAAAACTTCATCTTAAAAACATAGAAAAATACCTAAATTAAAATAAATACTAATTAATCAAATGTACACTGATTTCAATTCATATTGAAGGCATCATACTGGAGTTTGTGTGGAATATAAAGAAACATAGAAGGTGGTTTTAATCCATCAAAAAGACCAGATTTTTTTCTTGGAAGCTAAACACAAAAGCAGACTATTACAATGTCCACAGATACTTTAGGAACCTAGAGACTGTTAAAATTGTATACAATTGGCATAATTAAAAGGTTTCATAGAAGATTAGAAACCTGATGTGATTTCTTTTTTAATGGTGAAGGCACTGTTGATGGACACAAAGCAGAGCAAACAAACAGAAGGAATGAGACAAAGAGAGACTGGAATTGACAGTCTGCCTGGGACCAGGCAGAGAGTATTCTTGAATGACTAGCCATTCAAAATGATGCAGTGGAAGGGTTATTTGCTGTTGTTTTTCATTTTGTTATTTTTGAATGAATTTGTCTTGTCATGTTTATTTCCTTGCTAGGATAGTTAAAAGTGGTAGCCCATGAAAATAAAATGTTTAAAAAGAAAATATTTCAATTACTGTTTAATTCAAGATAACAGAGAAGGAAGCATTATGAAATGTTCAAATAACACTGCAGAAGTGTATCATCATATACTGGTGGAAAAATCGCGGAACCCAGCTCCCACTCTAAGGATCAAATGTGGCCAGCCTCCCATGAGGAGCCTACCAACCCTCACAGATTACTTCTTATGTTGCTTCCTCCTGGTATTTTACTGCCTACTATTTAAACCTGATTTAACCAAAATGTATTAAACACTCTATAGAATTTTACCATGCAGTGGCCACATGAATTGTGTTAAGTTTATTCTACCTTTTTAAAAAAAAATCCTTAAAATGACTTAGACCCAAAAAGAAAAATTCTACTCATATTACACCTTTACAAACTCTATTCTACTCATTTTATATGTATATGATTTCAGAAAGGTCAATTCAAAGAATCATTATAAAATCCATCTGTAAATTATGAGATCAAAAATTATCAAATACACTATTCCTTTATCTCTTTATTCCTGGTACCTGAGTTGGAACTCCAATCCTCCCACATGAAGCTTACTTACTCTACTTAAGATGCATACTGTATAAGAAGACATTTCTGGTTTAATACACATACAAAAAAGATTAATATAATTATAACATAATTATACCTGAGCAAAAAGGTAAGACATGACAAAGTCGTCAAGAAGAGGAGCTTCAGCCCCACGAGACACTCCGTATCTGTAGGTTCTGTTGCTGCCACTGCAGTACCAATGAGGAAAGTAAAACCTGGAAGACAATGTGACATTCCATCAGCCTGCAGAATTGAAGTACAAACACACCCTGAACACATGAAAACTTAGTAGTGCTGTCCTATAAAACACAAGAGGCAGTGTTGAATACAGGTTGTAAAAAAAAAAAAAGGATTTTTGTATAATAACATGACAATAATGTCAGCAGAAAATATAAGAAACGGAGTAAAGCATCCTGGAGCACATCTGTAATCCCAACACCCGGGGAGCGGAGGCAGGAGAAGCATGAGTTTTACACTATCTTGGGCTACCTAGAATAATACTTTGTTTCCATAAACAAACTAACAACCAAACGCACAGTCAAACAAGAGCAGCAGCATATGGAACATAAGTAACTGTAGTGAAAGCATACAGCCCACCTAGGTGTAATATGTAATAGGATGTAGAAGGAGAACCAATCAACAGAAACTGGAGAAATGTAGTCAGCAAAAGTCTTAAGTCCAGTAACACTAACAGAGGCATCTAAAAACGAAGCTTATTGGGCACACAGATAATTTCTCCTTCTTTTAGGAAAATGAACATAAAAATGTATCTTTCAAAGAAAAATTAAGTACATTCACTTATGAAACTAAAAGCTTTGAGATGTAATTCATCTACATACAGCTTGCACATTAAAGTGTTTAGTGATAGCCGGGCAGTGGTGATGCACACCTTTAATCCCAGCACTTAGGAGGCAGAGGCAGGCAAATTTCTGAGTTTGAGGCAACCTGGTCTACAGAGTGAGCTCCAGGACAGCCAGGACTACACAGAGAAACCCTGTCTTGAAAACAAACAAACAAAAAAAGTGTTTAGTGATTTGTAGTATTCAATGTGGTACCAATATCAAAATTTAATTTTACTTCTTTATTCTTTCTCCATGGCTATTAGCAACCAAATCCAAGTAAGTCACCCTGTTAACCCCTATCTATAAGCTACCACCTTTACAAATCTTATTCTACTTACTTTATATTCAAAATAATGGTGCCAGAGAGTGGTGGTGCGTGCCTTTAATCCCAGCACTTGGGAGGCAGAGGCAGGCAGATTTCTGCATTCGAGGCTAGCCTGGTCTACAGAGTAAGTTCCAGGACAGCCAGGACTACACAGAGAAACTCTGTCTCGAAATCCACAAAATAATAATAATAATAATAATAATAATAATAATGGTTTTGATATGTTGTCTTTTTATGTGATTTCATTTATTTAGCATAATGTTTTTAAGTTTCATCAACATTGTAGCATCTATATTTTTATTCCTTTCTCCTAATGAGTTAATACTGGACTGTAAGATGTGCCATATCTTATTCATTCACTCATCACCTTAAAAGCATTTGAGTTGTTTCTGTTTCCATGCTAACATGAATAAAACTCTGTGCATAGTGTGTTTGTGGATTCATGTTAGCAACATTGTATTTATCTTTGGGAGAAATGGCCAATTTTTTCCCTAAGTGATCATACCATTTCCTACTCTCACTGACAGTGTGTGAGCATTCTAATTAATACAACATTTGTTATTGTTTGCCTGTCTACGTTTGCCATCTTAGTGGATTGGTTGTTAACCTATAGCACATTTGATTTACATTTCTCCCAGGACTAATGATGTTGAATTTCTTGTTAAATGCCTATTAGCTATTTGCATGCCAAACATTTCTTTGGAGAAATATTTACTCAAGTCCTTTGCCTTGAACATATATGAAATCTGATATCCAAAGAGGCTCAGTGCACCATGGATACTTGGGATAGTTATATTATATTCTCATTCAAACCTAATCAGTAGCCAAGGCTTGTAAACCACCAAGTCATTCCTCCATCCCATTCTACTGCTTTTCATATGCTCACTATTTAGACCATGAATTCTTTTACTAACAGTGTTTTACCTTAAAAACAGAAAACTCAAACACATGGATCTACACGTTTTATACAGACTAAGGAGAAGAAAATAAGGAATGAAATATGAAAATTTGGGGCTGGAGAGATGGCTTAGCGGTTAAGAGCACTGACTGCTCTTCCAGAGGTCGTGAGTCCAAATCCCAGCAACCACATGGTGGCTCACAACCATCCGTAATGAGATTGGATGCCCTCTTCTGGTGTGTCCGAAGACAGAGACAGTGTACTCATAAATAAAATAAATAAATAAATAAATCTTTAAAAAAAAAAAAAAGAAATATGAAAATTTATTAAGGACTCATCAAGTACTAATAATGTCACCACCCTGCCTAGCACGTGTGACACCCTGGGTTTGATTTCCAGCAAAGCAAACAGGGTGTAGTGGCCCATGCTTGTGATCTCAGAAATGCTGGAAATTAGAGGCAGGAGGATCAGAAGTTCAAGGTCAGTCCTGGTTAGTCAGTGAGGCCAGAGAAGTCTGGGACACATGAGTTCCTGTCTCAACAAATAAAAATAAATAGTAAAACCATCAAATAAGAACAGTAAACACTACACTTATTATCTCTTTAATGAAGTAAATGTAAGCTGGTAGAAGGCAGTTTATGAAAAGAACTAGGTCTGAGTTTGAACTCTGATGCTTTTTCCAGGTTGTAAGAGCATGAACAACTATGAGTAATATGTCACAGCATCAGTCTCTATATATTACAGGGAATTCTTAATATTTCATTAAGTCATAAGAAAATTAAATAACATGTAAGTGCTTGGAGAATTACAGCTGTTTTTAAAACCAAAATTATTTCTTTGCTATTCTTTTATACAGAAAAAATCTGGATTTTAATTTTTCTGAAAATTAATTATTTTTCACATTGCTACATATTGCTAAATGAATTAACTTACAAACAAAAACTTTCAACTTTTTAGGCAGGCGGTGGTGGCGCACACCTTTGATCCTAGCACTTAGGAGGCAGAGACAGGCAGATTTCTGAGTTTGAGGCCAGCCTGGTATACAGAGTGAGTTCCAGGATAGCCAGGGCTATACAGAGAAACCCTGTCTCGAAAAAAACAAAACAAACAAAAAACTTTCAACTTTAAAAACTTATTTGTAAAAAAAAAAAGCTGATTACTTTTTATTGCACACACATCACACTTCCTGGAAACTGCCAATATTCCAGACACTGAGGACTGGTTTTACACAAGCTATTTTCATCTGTTCTTTTTTTAAAAAAAAATCTTAATTATAATCAAAAGTCATGAAGTGGCATCCCAACAGAACAAAACATCATAATTATCACCTTACAGAGCCAACAATTTCTCTCACTTTGTCTTTTACTAATACGAAAATCACTTAATGTCAGAAAGTACCTTATTCTGTAGAGTATATTATGCCTGGTTGACTCATCTATGTGGAAGACATGGTTGGGTGGATACCAGATCCTTTCTGTTTCACTCATTAAAGCAAACATATTATGATACACAGGCGTAATACCTAGAAATGAAGCATAGAAGGGACTGGTTATAAATAGCCAGTGGAGCATTTACATGACATGCATAATCTGCGTGACGCGGTACCTAGAGGTGAATCATAAGGGACTGACTGCAGATGCAAATAGCAGAACATTTATATAACTCAGCCTGCTGGGAGCCCGATGACTCTCCGGTCAGCAGAAACTCCAGTCGCAGCTGAAATACTGTGGGAAAACACTCCTTAAATCGAAGTTTTAATCAAATATCCCTCTCTATATATTTTAAAAATAAGACTACTGGTATTCTTACATGAAGATAAAAATACAATTTATCCAGCTTTTAACTGTCTTCTACAGAGTTTCCCATAGGAAAAAAATACACCGTATGAGTATGCACAAGTATGCACGTGTGTATCTTAATTGATACTAATTATCAAATCACTGAGATACTAACAAGCTTTTAAAAAAATGAAACAATTTCATATTAAAATGAGAAGTTTTCTACACTGTGCTAATAATTATATCTGATGCACTGTTTAAAAAAAAAAAACCATAAGAGCCAACTGAGCCATTTCACTGGCCCTTACAGGTTAAATGACAGCTGAGCCATTTCACTGGCCCTTACAGGTTAAATGACAACTGAGCCATTTCACTGGCCCCTTACAGGTTAAATGACAGCTGAGCTACCTCTCTGGCCCCAAATACTTTTCCATCCTTTTCCCTTTTTGAACAGGGTCTTATGTAGTCCAAGCTGACCTCAAACTCCTTATGCAGATAAAGCTAGCCATAAGCTCTGACAGGACAGCCTCCGTGTCCCAACTGCTAGGATTACAAGAGTGCAGCACCACATAGGCACCTCTTTTTCAGACACTTCACAAAAGTAAGGTAGAGCTCAATGGTGGAGTGCATGTGTGGGATATATGAGGTGTGGGATATATGGGGTGTGGGATATATGG